GTGAAGATCTCTGGAGGATTTTGTGATCCAATCCAGACCCTGGAAGATATGGTAGATTTGAATGATGAGCAGTAAGTTCCAGAAAGGAAGCAAGGAAGGGCAGTGCCCAAGGAAGACACAGGACCCAGGCAGTGGCAGAGCAGTTTGGGAGAGGAAGAGAGCTTGGATAGCAGCTGCAAGAGTGAGCAGCCAAGCAATGCCTTGGCTTGGAGTTGTGTCAGGGTCAGAGTGCCGGCCCAGGCTTGTGCTCTTGGAAAAACCAGGTTTTACCTTCTTCATGTGAGAAAGTAGAATAGTCTTAGAACCAAGCTTTAAAGCCACACAAAATGTGTTCAAAGGAAATTCAAGAGTTAAAACTAATGTCAAACATGCTAGCAGATGGGAGGGGAGAACACTTCAGCTCCCACTATGGTCCTTCTACTAAATAATAGGGGCTAGAAGGTGGGGAGGGTTTACAAAGCCAAGAAAGCCTCAGGACCATGCAAAGCACAGGTAAAATCAAGGTGGCCTGAACAGTTGAGACCTTCTTCAGCACTAACTCTGCTCTAACTTAGTGGGAGATATGGCATCTTCACACTTCTCTCCTATAGCTCATTTGTTCCAGCAAGCAATCAGCACCGGCACAACTGCAGAAGCTGGGGAGACAAGCTAACAGTACGAAGACTTCTCCCTGAGGTCCAGTGTCTATTTGGAAGAGAGAGACATGAACTGAGACTGTATAAGGAATGTGACAGTGATAAGGGCAGGAAGCAGAAGTATAATGAGTAGGGATGGGCTGCTCCACCATCGAAACCCTACTCATCTTCTAGCCAGGTTCCCATTCACCTTTTTTGAACCTGTGTCTCCTCTGCGATCTGATCTTTCATTCCCTGAAACACTGTGGACCCCTGAGCAAGCCTCTGGTGCTTAGCTAGCCTTGAGGTGCTGGGTTCATTCAGGTCAGGAGCCTTGAGGCTCCACCCTTGATCCTAGAAGGCTACCATAGGGCTGAGCTGTCTGCACATGGAATGTGCATGGCCATACGTTGCCTGCTGTGACAACACAGACTTTTCAGAACTGCAAATACATTCTTGGGCTTTTTTTCCCCTTTCCCAACACCATGGTCTAGGAGTTTCATGTAAGAAAATTACATAATAGAGTAGAATCACATAAATAAAACAACAACAAAGTTGGATTTGTTAAGTAATAAGGACCATGAAGTAGACAGACCATGTGATAGAACCTATTCCTAGAACAAACATAAGCTAGCTAAGGCTTCAAACAGTGCACTGGAACCTAGGAGAACCAAACAGAAGTAACTGTCTATGACAAGAGAGGGCTCCATGAGGGGAGAGACAGGGCAGACCCCCTTCCACACCCAGCATCCTCCCCATACCATACAACGCTAAACTCTGTCCTGCCACTCCTAGGCTTGCCAGGAGTGGTAGTGCATGCTTTTAACCAAGCACTCATGGGGCACAGGCAGGTGATCTCTGTGAGATGTGTGAGATGGTGGCCAGCCTGGTCTACACGGCAGTTCTAGGTCAGCTAGGGTGACAAGGAGACAGTTTCAAAAAAAACAAAACAAAACAAACAAACAAAGCAAAGAAGGGCTGAAGAGCTGACTGCTCTTATAGAAGACCCAGGTTCAGTTCCTAGCACCTACATGGTGCCTAACAACCATTCATAACTCCAGTTCCAGTGGATCTGACACCTTCTTCTGGCCTCTGTGGGTACTGCACAACATGGGTGCACTTACATACATGCAGTACACTTATACATTTAAAATTTTTTAAAAAGCAGTGGAGGTCAGAAGAGGCTGTTGGATCCCTTGGGACTGGAGTTACAGACAGTTGTTAGCTGCCACGTGGGTGCGGGGATTCAAACCCGGGTGTTCTGCAAGAACAGCCAATGTTCTTAACCACTGAGCCATCTCTCCACTTGTTTTTTAAGTTGCCTTCCCTGGAAAAAAATAGGTTCAAAACCATTATTTCATTAAGGTCAGTTCTTAATTTAATCTCCTTTCAACAGAACTGAAAAAAGACTGCAGTTGAATTTAGACTACCAGGCTCCAGGGGATCCAACATCTTCTTCTGGCCTCCAATGGGTACCTGGACACATGTGCAGGTACACACAAATACACAAACAGAAATAAAAGACATAAATCTTTACACACACAAAAAAAATAAATCTTAAAAACAGACAGACAAACAAACAAAAAACCAGGTGGAGAAATGGCTCATTGGTTAAGAGGATCAGGGTTCTATTCCCAGCACCCACATGGCAGCTAACAGCCATCTGTAACTCTGGTTACAAGGGGATCTGACACCCTCTTCTGGCTTCCATAGGCATTGTAGGCATGTGGTATACTTTTATGTATGTAGATAAAACACTCAATACACATAAAATAAAAATAAAAAAAAAAAAAAACAAAGACAGGTAAGCACTCATACACACACAGTGCCTGGGACACTGAGCACAGCACCTGCAGAATACAGCTAGCAATGGCAGCAAGGCTTGCACATATGGCCCCGGCTGTTCCATGTGCCCATATGAGGTAGGCAGCCTCATTTTACACAAAATCAAACAGGCTTAGGGAGGTCAAGTAGCCTATCCGAGATCAAAAAAGCAGCAGACAGTAGAGCCTCAGAATTTGAACCTAAAGCCAATCTAGTTTCAGAATGTGTTCTTGATCACATCTCTACTGATTCAAATGCACAGGTCAAATCTGTTCTTCTCATTAGCCACCCAGCCTAGACACCAAACCAGAGCCAGCTGTGCAGCCTGTGCACACGTATTATCTCTTGCCTGCAGGCCACCAGAGCAGAACCTTGGCTCCTCTGTGAAGGCTGCACTATCCATTCCTATCAGCACAGAGCACCCACTTTTGCCTGAGTGAAGAACTGTTTTCATGCCCCCAGGGAAGCCAAACATGCTCAGTACTCTACTGAACCATTCGCAGAAACCTACAAGCTCAGGTCCAGGTTGAGTTGGTACAGCCATTCTGTTTGGCCAACACAGCCTTTCAAACACGCCGACACTGCCTCTAGGCAGCCAATCCTAGTACCACCCTGCTGTCCTACCTTGTCTGTAACCAAGTACACTAGGTACCTAGTCCCTACTGATCAGCTGCCTCTCACCACTCCCATCTATTTTACCTATTGTCCTTCCTTTCACCACTCTCACATGCAGTGAATCACGGCTGCGAGACCGCAAAGAAAGAGAAGCAAAGAAGGTATCACTTCACTGATTTCTACTTCAATAGACAAAAACAACCATCCAGAGCATTTCAAAAGTGGAACCCATCCTTAAAATTAACTTCAGTTCACAGCACAATGAAAATTAAAAAAAAAAAAATTCCAGAACTACTCTGCACTGCCCCACTTTTCAGTGCCTACAGTTTCTTTGAGGGAGGGGATATCAGTGTGTGCATGTGAGTACAGATGCAGGTATGAATGCACATGTGTGTACAGGGTCTACACAGCCTTTCACTAGGACTCACCCATTAGGCTGGGCTGGCTGGCAAGTTAACTCCAAGCATCTGCCCCCATAGCATCACAGGTACGTGCTGCCACACCCACTTTTGACATGGGTTCCGGGAGCAGAATTCAGGTCCTCATGCTGGCACAGCAAGCCCTTCACTGACTGACCCCTCTGCCAGCTCCAGTGCCCATACTTGTAAGCAGAGAAGGTGTCCTAGCAGAGTGAGATCCAGTCTGGCTAGGGGTCACTATCAAGTCCAACCCCAGGGTTTTCTGAGAAAGGTGAGAGAACTTTGTTTTAGAAGATTTACCTTTAAATTTCAACCCCAAACAAGACATTTTGTGTTTGATTTGTTTCTGATTCAGCTGACAACACTGTTCCAGTTCAGGGAATTAAATACTAAAATTAGAAATGGTAGGGGACACTGACGGAACACACTGTGCATGACCACAACAGAACAAAGGAGTGACCCTCTTCCTAGAGCTGGGGCTCTCTACATTAGCAGAAAAGGACCCCTGGTTGTCCTGGCCTGTTACGAAGTTCACAGCTGCACCTGCAAATCAACACAACACCTGCATACTACAGAACTGAGTTATTCACACAACTCAGCAAAAAACCCACAAACCCTTAACCTGGCATGGGAGTGTATTTTACCCTTGAGGAAAAAGAATTAAGACAAAAAAGCCTCAGGTATAAATATTTTCATTTAATAAGAATCAAAAAAGGGAGCTGGAGAGATGGCTCAGCAGTTAAAAGCACTGGCTGCTCTTGCGGAGGACTCAGGTTTGAGTTCCAGCACCCACATGGTGGCTACAAACCGCCCTTCACTCCATCCAGTTCCAGGGGAATCTGAAGCCCTCTTCTGACCTCCGCGGCATTGCATGACACAGGTGCACTCACATATATGCAAGCAATACACTCATACACATTATTAAAAAAACAAAAACAAAAAATACCCCAAACTAAAGCATCAAAACAAGATGTACAATGGCTTAGGTCATCACACAGGAAGCACTTCCCACAAGGTCAGCCTTAGCTGAGCCAGAGAATTTTATGAGTCAGGTTTTCGCTTTTTTCATCACACTTGGAAAACATGAATGATTTGTGTGACTAAAGCCTTTCAAAGCCAGGCGTGGTAGTACGCACACCTTTAGTCTCAGCACTCGGGATGCAGAGGCAGGTGAATCTCTGTGAGTTCAAGACCAGCCTGGTCTACACAGTGAGTTCCAGGTCAGCTGGGACTACAGGGAGACTGGTCTCAAAAAGACCAAAAAAGCCTTTCAAAAGAATACTTTTGGAAAGAATGTTTCTTCAGTGGAAACACCCACCTGTGCACACAAGGTCCATTTCAATGTCTTAAAGGGACTACCTGAAACAGCAGACAAACCATACTCTCTTCTTCTCTGGTCTCTGCTGCACAGACCAGACCAGACCTGAGCGCCAGGCTTGTTTTAGTGTGGAGATGTAGGCCTCACAGGAGAGAGAGAAGGCAGCTCTACATGTAAGGGGACAAAAGACTGCCATCACGTAGTACTCACTGCTGGCTCAACTTGACTCCGATCTGCAATATCTATGTGGACAATTTCAACAGTTTTCCATGTGTTTGGATCTAAACCATGAACCTGTAAGTGACAAATAGAAATAGACAACAAAACTCTGTTTAGTGTGTTGTCAGGTAAAACTACCATGTTTACATATGTCATCTTACCTTGAGGCCCTCAGTACAGTATGAGGAATGAAAAAAAATGAAAATTACTATTTCATTAAGTTAGCAGTTGACAGTCTTGAGATCGGGAATGTATGTGTGAACATACCACCAAATAAACTTCTGTCAATATCCTTTTCTAGTAGTCCTTAGGGATGATTCAAGTGACAAAAAGTATCCGACCTGTGTTTAACCCAAATGATATAAACACAGTGCTTGTAACTGATAAATCCTAGGCTAGCAAAGGTAACATGGCAATCAGACATCAGACCTCAAGAAGCTATGCTAGGGGCTGGAAAGACAGCACATATCTTTCTTACAGAGGACCTAAGTTTGGTTCCTAGCACCCACGTCAGGCAGCTCATCTTTAACTCTAGTTCCAACAGATCTGATGCCTCTGGCTTCCTCAGGCACCTGCATTCACACACACACACACACACACACACACACACACACACGCAATTAAAACAAATCCTTTTTTAAAAGTTGCACTATATGGTCTAAAACCTCTCCTGGATTTGACTATCCCACAGCTAATTTTTAGTTTGTCAGCTCCTCTACATCTCACATTGTTCAATCATTTCTCAACCCTGTGAACCAATCAAAAACTGTTTAAAAACAAGATACCCAGGGGCTGGAGAGATGACTCAGTAGTTAAGAGCACTAGCTGCCCTTGAAGAGGACCTGGGTTTGGTTCCCAGCACCCACATGGCAGCTAACAACAGTCTGTAACTCCAGATCCAGGGGCTCCAATGCCTTCTTCTGGTCTCTGTGGGCATTGCATGACATGGGTTCACTTACATACATGCACGCAAAATACTCATACACATAAAATTTTAAAGATTAAAAAATTAGCCAGGTGCCACTCTAGGGGCAGAGAAAGGAGGATCTCTGTCTGTTCAAGGCCAGTCTGGTCTACATAGTGAGTTCCAGGTCAGCTGGGGCTACAGGGAAAAACTGTCTCAAAAAGACCAAAAAAGAAAAAAAAAAATTAAAAATTAAAAATAAAAACAGATGCCCTACTTGAGAACTAGAAATGGCAACAACTCAAATCTAAACACCACTGCATTCAGACCATGCCCTTTAGAGAATTACCATGAAAAGCATGGTCTGTCTCATGATCACCTGACAACTTAAGTACTACAAACTGAAATTCAGAAGTTCTAATAACAGGCATCATGACTAGCATAGTAAAAAACGGCAAGAATAGAATTTAGCTCTCACTAACCTACACTCTAAGATTCCAACAGTAATTCTGAATCCGCGGTGTGTATCAGAAAACAAATTGTTGGACCCCATGTAGATGCTGCTGCTCCAGGTTCAGGGATGACCCTTTTAGAGAATCACTCAAATGCCGTCCCAGCTTCTCCAACAAGCCTTCACGACTATCTTTTGGACTTCTAGCTGGTATTCTCCAAGCTTATTTAGAAATGAATGTGCGCCAACTTACAATAATATTAAGCCAAAAGTTTATGAACCTGTTTGCAAAGTTAAAGCATCTCTTTCCATCCTCTGGTCATTTTTTTCTGACATCAACTTAAACTCCATTAAAGTGGAATGGAAGTGAAAATTAAAGCAATCAATTCTGCTAAGTACAACAAGTTTGGCAAACAGAGGTAAAAATGCAGGGGTACCTGGATTGGGGCACTATCTGTGAATGCTGTGGATCTACGTTCTACTGCTGCAGACAAAAGAGTTCTGGTAAAAGTTCTGATAAAAGCTCACTAGAAGCCACTCAAGTGTCAAGGACTGATGGAGAAAGCCCATTTATGTCTGGCTTGCCTCACCTCAATCCAACACAGCCATGTGGGCCAAGTACTAGTCCTGCCGGGGTATCCCTCTGTTGACAGCCAAGTGAAATGCACAGTAATTCCTATCTCCAGGGCCTTCTGCACTTGAAATACAGTGGTGATATGTTCTGATGGTGCTGGAAATCAAACCCAGGGCCTCATACATGCTAGCCAAGCACTCTACTACAGAGCTATCGCCCCAATCTTTGAAGCACAGAGTTAAAACTTACATTCTCTAATGTTCCCAGGTCAGGTTTGTGCCATGTTTCGATTTTAATGAAGAAATCATCTTTCATATATTCATTCTGCAGAAAACACAACAGGGAAATGACACGACCCCGCCCAGTTCTGTGAGAGCCTCCCCCAACACTAGCACACCTGGTGATTCCACATGCAGACCTCTCAACTGTCCGCATCATTAGTTCCAGAGTTTTACAGACTTGTTAGGCAGACCAAACAGTACTTGCTTTTAAATAATTTCAACACTCCTGTTTGTCACACAGCATAAGGGGCTAAAAAGAAGCCATGAGGTTTGCTGAGTAAATCTGGCATTCAAGGTTGAAGTAGGAAAAGCAAAATAAGACCAGTAAAAGAGTGTGTAACAATGGCAAGACGAGGCCTGTTAACCTGCCAGTGTGTGCTGGGGACTGGGGAGAGCCTGGTAACCTGTGTGTGTGTGTGCTGGGGGCTGGGAGGGAATGGAGAGCCATGCAGCAACAGGAGCTTAAGTCAAATGCCAAGAGCAGCTGAGAATCATTAACAAAAGAACGTTTAAAGATGAAGAGTATGTTACTCACCGTTACAACTGAGGCAGGGTGGACAGGCAGGCAACAAAACAGGAAAAATTTCGATTAGATGAAGCCAAAACACTCTGCCCCAATATTCCATGTCATAAAGACTAACCCATTCAAAATATGCAGTATCTTATGCCTTCAAGATGGTCTCTTTACAAGTCACACCCCGAGATCCCCAATCTAGATCATGGAGAACAATCTGACCTTATCTAAAACAATACTAACAAGCATATCTGGGAAGCAGGTATCATTTATTAAGTTGATCTGGCAATGATGGGAAGTAGTCTTAGGTCTGCAACATCCCTGTCGTTCAGCAGCATAGACACCCCTTGAAGCACACCGAAAGGCACTGAGCATGAACAACCTTAATTAAAGATCCTGCATTCACTGTTTCATCCTGGAGTCAGCAGTTATCAGGACTCTGTGTGGCAGTCATGTGGGATGAACCCAAGGAGGGACACATAGGTCTGAAAGAGGATACCAGTGGCTCCATGGCCATCACTCAAGAAGTGAGTATCTAAGAACCCACAGGAGGCCTTGCTTAGTGTAATCCTTTTAAAGGCCTGGGCACCAAGTATTCCTCTCTCCTTGCCTTTAGGGAGAAGGTGCAATGTTGCTGCGGACCAGCTTACTTGTTCTGCAGTAGGGGTAAGCATTCCAGGCTTTCTCATGAAACACCAAGGAGCCCTCAGGAGCAATCATCCTCACAAACGCAGGAACTTTGCTGTGAGGACAGAGAAATTGGATACATTTTCAACTATGCTACAATTTATCGAAAAAGTATGTCAAATGTTATCTTCTGTATTTGACGAACTAGATAACACCAACAGTTTATTTCAATCCCAAAGTAATCATGTAGAAAATTAATGCTAAAAAAGGGGGGTGGGGTGGCTGGAGTGACAGCTCAGTGATTAAGAGCATTAGCTGTTCTTGCAGAGGACCAGGGTTCAGTTCCCAGCACCCACATGGCAGCTAACAACCATCTCTAACTCCAGTTCCAGGACATCTAATGTTCTCTTCTGACCTCCATGGGCACTGTACAACACAGGTGCACTTACATACATGCTGCAATACACTCATACACATAAATAAAATATTTTTAAGAAATAACCAAATGGGCTAGGTGCGTTAGCCAGTACTTGGGAGAGGCAGGTGGAGCTCTATTGAGTTCAAGGCCATCGTGGTCTACATAGTGCATTCCAGGCCAGCCAAGGATACACAAGAGGCTGCCTTAAAAAAAAAAAAAAAAAAAAAAAGTTAGAAAGGTTTAACTATACAAGCCTACTTTGTTTTCTATGATTTAATGTTTTCATCATTTTTCTATTTTGTTTCTGGATTTTTTTTTTTTTTGGAGGGGGGTAACTGGGGATGGAACCAGGTCCTTATACATGCTAGGCAAGAACAGTACCACTGAGCTTCATTTCCACTCACTTAAAAATTGTGTGTGTGTGTGTGTGTGTGTGTGTGTGTGTATGTGCTATGCATGTGCATACATCTGGTGTGTGAATATGTGTGTATGCACATCATACTGTGCATGTGGAGGTCAACAGACAAGTCCCTGATGTTGATCCTTACCTTCTACCTCATCTGAAACAGGGTTTCAGCACAACTATACACAACAGACCTAAGGAACTAAGCAAATGTGAAAGGCTGTATAGAAAATAAGACCAAACTTTCCCAAGTATAAAATTCTTCATGTGGTGGCTCATGCCACTCAGGAGGCTGAAACGGGGGGGGGGGGGGGGGGGTGTTTCCATGTGCTTGAGGTCAGCCTGGGCTACATCCTGAGTTCCAGTCTAACCTAGACTTAAGATCTCATTTCAAAAACAGAAATTCTATGAGAGATAGCTGTCACTAGCTACCTCAAATGTGGTCTGAAAAGTCAAAAATATGACTGACAGAAGCTTGTGCAAATTTATAACAATCAAGAGAGAGCCCAAAAGACCACCAGATAAATGAGTAAAGGATGCTCACTGCTGCAAACAGAAAACACTACTCACTAATTGGTCTTTCCAGCTTACACAGAAACACAAATGAACTGAGCCTGTTACTGACACTGACTACTGTGAACAGCTCCACTTGCTGGTCTTTCTCACAGACTGGACTCAACTCCCAGCACCCTTACCCAGAGGCTATGTGAGTGACACTCTGCACACTCACACTCTGAACTTACTCATCAACCTACTCCGTGGATACAGAAATTGAGATACATCAGTGTCCACGATGTATCTAGCACAGTGAAGTCCCCAATGGAGGCCTTTCATTTTAAGCAAAAGGAGGTGCTTCTTACAGGCCTTCCTTCGTTTAAATCTCCTAGGAACCTCCGGGCAAGTACTGCTTCATCCTTCAGATAAGCAGCAATTCAGAGGCTAAGCAGTATGTGCCCAAGCTATGTGCCCCAACTTCAAGCACTACGTGTGTTATGTGTTTCTGCCATATCATAGCTGCCTCTCTGAAAACTTTCTAGTACAACTTAAATTATTCAAGCAAGACAAACAGGGCAAGAAAACATGGGAGCCTGGAAGGCTTTCTGGCTATAGTAAGACTAAGGTGTTGGCATAAGCTATTCCTCAGCTGTATGTTGGAGGCTATACACAGAAGAGGGTGAGGAACCTCACACCAACAAGAAACTGGGCATCATAAAGAGGGGAGCCCTCAGATGTTGGATCCACAGGACATGACATGAACACATAGTTTGGGGGTTTCACTACGCAGGCACATTAAATCATAGAAAAACAAAAGCTAAAGTCCTATTTTTGAATGGCAGGGAAAGCAAGATCCCTACAGCATAAAGCTGCTTACATGCTTTGTCTCTCAAAGCTAACAATGAAAGACGGCCAAATTTTCTGAGTCGTTATTCTTTTCAAATTGTGTGATGACTCACACTAACCTCAGAAGTATTAAGTCAGGACAACTGAAAAGAGTACTTTCCTAAAAGTCAAAGAGGAGCTGGATAGTCTGCTCCATTAGTCGAGTATTTGCCATGTAAGCATAGAACCCAAACAAATATCCAGCAGGCTGGAGAAGGTGGAGAAAGGCTCCCCAGGCTCTCTGGCCAGCCAGCCTAACCTAATGGGCAATCCCAGGCTCCACTGAGAGATCTTGCCTCAAAAATCAAAGCGGGGGCTGTTAAGATGTCTCAGTGAGTAAAGGTGCTTGCTGCCCAGCCTGATGGCCTGCGCCTCATCCCTCAGACCCACATGGAAGGAGAGAGCTGATTCCAAGTTGTTCTCTGACTTCCACCTGTATGCTGTGACACACATTCATACCCTTCTCCCCCCAAAATAAGTCTATATTTTAAAAAGTGGATGGGTATCCTGAGGAATAACATCTGAGGTTGATCTCCTGCCTCTACACCATGAGCACACAGATGTTATGTACACCCCTACACCTCTACACACACACACACACACACACACACACACACACAAAATCTAGTGGAGAAACCTCCAATGGCAGACACAGACCCAAAAGATGTTTGGTCTGACCAAAAGAGAATGCTATCTATCAGTAATCAGGATTAATCACAGTATTCCTGCTTCATCTCAGTGCATGGCAAACAACTACCAATGATTCAGCTGGTCAACTTAGAAAAGGCTGGAATAGATCAGAAACACAGTTTAACCTACAGGGCCCAACAGTGGAAACACTCTAATGTTTAGGGAACATCAGAAAAGGGAACAATAATAATTCATAAAATGGAACTAGGCCTACAAAAAGAAACACAGGAAGCCATTCCTCCTCTTGTTCTTGACCCAGGCTGCTTGTGAGATGGTGACTACTTAGAGTGTTCCTAGCAGGGCTCACACCTCAAAGTACCCTGTTGTCCAGGTCTTGGCTGCATAAGATGAGAGTTCCCACAGCAAGAAGTCCAAGAGCATGAAAGTTCTTTCAGAAGGCATCCCCTGCCATGCATGCTAGGAGTGTTTAGCCTGGTAGTCTAAATTCAACTGTAGTCTTTTTTCAGTTCTGTTGAAAGGAGATTATATCAAGAACTGACCTTAATGGAATAATGGTTTTGAACCTATTTGTTTCCAGGGAAGGCAACTTAAAAAACAAATGGTGAGATGGCTCAGTGGTTAAGAACACTGGCTGTTCTTGCAGAAGACCCGGGTTTGAATCCCAGCACCCACATGGCAGCTAACAAATGTCCGTTAACTCCAGTTCCAAGGGATCCAACAGCCTCTTCTGTCCTCCACAAGCATTGCATGACACAGACAGAGGACAGGGGTTCAATTCCCAGAACCACATGGTGGCCAACAACCATCTGTAACTCCAGTTACAGGGTATCTGTCGCCCCCTTCTGGCCCCCATGGGCACTGTATGGTTCAGGTGCACTTAACATACATGCAGGCAATACACGCATATACATAAAATAAAAATAATAAATAAAATACTTAAAAATATATTTTTTTTAATTCTCTGAATACAGATGTCTGAGGAGGCCAGAGGCATAGTCAGTATACCTGGAGCTAGAATTAGAGGTGGTTGTAAGCTGGCTGAGGTAGGTACTGGGAACTGAACTCAAACCCTCTGAAAGAGCAGTACACAATGTTAACTACTGAGCTGCCTTTCCAGCTCAGAGAAGGCAACTAAGTCATAACAGAACTGGGGGGTGGGGGTGGGGGGAGACACAACATGATGACTTACATGGTTTAAAACTAAACATCCTCTCTGGAAGCAGCTCTTAAAAAAAATAAAGCAAAAAAACCAACAGCAATTAAAAAACAAAACAAGCCGGGCATGGTGGTGCACACCTTTAATCCCAGCACTCGGGAGGCAGAGGCAGGCGGATCTCTGTGAATTCAAGGCCAGCCTGGTCTACATAGTGAGTTCCAGGACAGCTGGGGCTACAGAGAGACCTTCTCAAAAAAACCAAACCAAACCAAACCAAAACAAAACATATAACCCATTATTGAGATAAACAGTGCCTTGGAATAAGTTCCTCAGTTTTCATCTTCTACTTTTTCTTATTTTGCAGTGCTGCAGATGGAACCCAGAAACTCATGGGCACTCAACCACTAAGCTTAGGCCTCCAATCCTGGCAAACTACTTCAAACTACATTTTCCCTTGATATAATAATCTACTCGTAAAACACACCATGTAAAACTGTTTAAAGTTCCATTTCTCTACCCTTTTTTTATCATACGTAGATAATTATCAAAACATCAAAATGTGGAAAAATACAGGAAAGAGTTTGCAGACCAGACTGAATTGCCATCAATAAAATAACTGATCCTTCACTTTGTTACCAAACGCAGTCATCTATTCACTCAGTTTCTACATGTATTCACTGGCCTTGCTGGGGACTGTGGAAAGAATGAACAGGGACCACTGCAACACAGCATAACCTTCCAAGAAAGGAAGCAGAAACAATGCAAGGCAAAAAATAAGACCCATTCTGTCACTAGCTCAGGGCAGAACAACAGAGGAACAGAGCTAGCTAAGTAGGATGAGCAGCCCGGCCACGGCATCCCTCCAGCATGACTAACTGCAGTGGCTGAAAGAACAGAGCGAGCAAGATAGGACAGGCCAGAGAGGGGCAAACAGACTACGTGGAACCCTCCTCACCTGACAGGTTGGAGTGTGAGTTTATTCTCTTTACATGATATGGAAGCCACTGAAGGCCTTGAGAAACCTGGTACTATGTAGAGTCAAATGGAGTGAGAAAGAAGGGTGGTGACAAAAACCAACTCCAAATGGATGAAGACCTAAAACTGAGA